GAGGGGGTCAGTGATGGTTAATGATGGGTCAGTGAGGGGGTCAGTGATGGTTAATGATGGGTCAGTGAGGGGGTCAGTGAAGGGTCAGTGATGGTTAATGATGGGTCAGTGAAGGGTCAGTGATGGTTAATGATGGGTCAGTGAGGGGGTCAGTGAAGGGTCAGTGATGGTTAATGATGGGTCAGTGATGGTTAATGATGGGTCAGTGAGGGGGTCAGTGATGGGTTATTGAGGGTCAATGATAAGTTCGTGAGGAGTCAATGATGGTCAATGATGTGTCAGTGAGGGGTCATTGAGGGTCAGTGAGGGGTCAGTAATGGTCAATGATGGGTCAGTGAGGGTCAGTGATGGGTCAGTGAGGGGTCGGGGAGGGTCCGTGATTGGTCAGTGAGGGATCAGTGATTGGTCAGTGATGGGTCGGGGAGGGTCAGTGATTCGTCAGTGAGGGGTCAGTGATTGGTCAGTGAGGGGTCGGAGAGGGTCAGTGATTAGTCAGTGAGGGGTCGGGGAGGGTCATTGAGGGGTCAGTGATTGGTCAGGGAGGGTCAGTGATTGGTCAGTGAGGGGTTGGGGAGGGTCAGTGAGGGGTCAGATTGGTCAGGGAGGGTCAGTGATTGGTCAGTGAGGGATCAGTGATTGGTCAGTGATGGGTCGATGAGGGTCAGTGATTGGTCAGTGAGGGGTCGGGGAGGATCAGTGAGGGGTCAGTGATTGGTCAGTGAGGGGTCAGTGATTGGTCAGTGAGGGGTCAGGGAGGGTCAGTGAGGGGTCGGTAGATTCCCCCTACCCCAGGCCGTTCCGGATTCCCGGTTGTTGTTGTTTTTTTCCGGAATATCGCGGCCCCAAGGCCCCGTTTCCCGGTGACTGCTGGCGCGGGAGCGCGCCTTTAATCTGGAGGCGGGGACGCGCCGCGGCCGGTGTCGGGAACGCGCTTTGCGGATTCCGGCCTGAAAACCGAGGGATCCCGATCCCAGCGGATCCCGGGCGGGCGCAGCAGGATCGAGTGGGAATGGGAGCTTTAAACAGCCGTCAGGAAGCGGGGCTCGAGGATCTGGAGATCCCCCCGGGATCGGTTTATAGATACCCCCCAAAAACCGGTAAGAGGCAGATCACCGGGGACCGGGATCACCGGGGACAGGGATCACCGGGGACAGGGATCACCGGGGACCGGGATCACCGGGGACAGGGATCACCGGGGACAGGGATCACCGGGACAGGGATCACCGGGGGCAGGGATCACCGGGATCGGGATCACCGGGGACAGGGATCACCGGGGACCGGGATCACCGGGACAGGGATCAGCGGGACCGGGATCACTGGGGACAGGGATCACCAGGGACAGGGATCACCGGGACCGGGATCACCGGGGACAGGGATCACTGGGGACAGGGATCACCACGACCGGGATCACTGGGGACAGGGATCACCGGGGACAAGGATCACCAGGAACAGGGATCACCGGGACCGGGATCACCGGGGACAGGGATCATCGGGACAGGGATCACCAGGGACAGGGATCACCGGGACAGGGATCACCGGGATCAGGATCCCTGGGGAGGCAGAGAGGGGAATGGAAATGAAGCCAATGAACTGGGAGGAGATCCGCTGGGATCGTGTGGAATCTGTCTGGGATGGGTGGGTTTATTGGGAGGGGGGAAGCTGGTAAAGAGGCAGCGATCCATTAGTGGGGCTGGAGTCTGGTAGATCCCTGGGGACCATGGGGCTGGGATGGGGAAATGTAATAAATGACCATGGGGTTGGAGGGGAATTCCTGGTCTGCTCAGTCTTGTGGACCAAAACATTCAGGAACCAACTGGACAACAGTGTTTCCATCAGTATCCCTACAGTGTGGCAACAGGCCGTTCGGCCCATCGGGTCCACACTGACCCTCTGAAGACCGTCCACCCAGACCCACACCTGCATTTCCCACGGCCAATCCACCCTAACCTGCACGTTGAAACCGAAAGGACTGTGGATGCTGTAAATCAGGAACAAAATCAGAAGCTGCTGGCAAAGCTCTGGCAGCTTCTGTGAAGAAAAAATCAGTTAATGTTAAGGAAGGGTCACAGGACCCAAAATGTTAACTGTGAATTTTTTTTTCTTTGCAGATGCTGCCAGACCTGCTGAGCTTTTCCCAATTTCTGTTCCTCCCCTGCATATCTTTAGACTGTGGGAAGAATCTGAAGCACCCAGAGGAAACCCATGCAGACACAGGGAGAATGTGTAAACTCCACACAGACAGTTGCCTGAGGGTGAAATTGAACCTAGGTCCCTGGTGCTGTGAGGCAGTAGTTCTAACCCACTGAGCCACAACATGGCTCCCTTTGTGATTGCCCCTTGGGGATGAGTGACCATAATATGACAAAATTCTTCATCGAGATGGAGAATGACATACTTGATTCTAAGATTAGGGTCCTGAATCTAATTAGAGGAAATTACAATGACACGAGACTTGAATTGACCATGGTAGTTTGCAGAACATTACTTAAGGAGATACCAGTGAGAAGGCAGTGGCAAACATCAAAGAGCATGTGGGTGAACTACAATAATTGTTCATTTTTATCTGGTGCAAAAGTAAATGGAAAATACTACCAACCGCTGGCTTACAAGGGAAATTAGAGATTGTATGCCTCTTCATTGGATCTAAAACTATTAACCAGAAAAGGCAACGGACCTGAGGGGTTGGAGTAGTTTAGGATTCAGCAACGGAGGACAAAGGGATTAATTAAGGAAGGGAAAAACGAAAGGGAATGTTTCTGTAAGTAAATGAAGAGAAAAAGATTTGTGAGGACAAATGTAGTTCCTTTAGTCAGAAACAGGAGATTTTATGGTGGGGAGCAAAAAAAATGGCTGACCAGCTAAATCCATTTGGTTCTGTGCTCACACAGGAGGATGCAAATGACAGACAGTAAACATTGAGGAAGACAAAGTTTAGTAAGAGTGAGGAACTGAAGGAACTCAGAATTAGTTTCGAAATGGTGATTCAAAATGCGAGGTGATGCATTTTGGAAGATCCAATTTAAGAGCGAACTATATGGTAAATGGAAAAGCCCTGGGGAAAATTGATGCACAGAGAGATCTGGCTGTTCAGGTCCATTGTACCCTGAAGGTGGCAACGCAGTTCGATAGAGTGGTCAAGAAGGCATACAGCATGCTTTCTTTCATCAGACAGGGTATTGAGTACAAGAATTGGCAGGTCATGTTACAGTTGTATAGGACTTTGGTTCGACCACATTTGGAATACTGCGTACAGTTCTGGTCACCACATTACCAAAAGGATGTGGATGCTTTGGAGAGGGTGCAGAGGAG